TCAATAATTAAATATACATACATATTAGCCATCTTTGGGCAATAATTAAAAATTTATAATAGGAATACAAAAAAATAAGCAATTGTAGGAAATGAAAGAGGGTCAAAAAATACTTCATTAATCCAGGATTGGTGGCACAGGCCTATAATCTCAGCAGCTTGGGAGGTGAGGAAGGAGGATCATGAGTTCAAAGCCAGCCTCAGCAAAAGTGAGGCACTAAGCAACTCAGTTAGACACTGTCTCTAAATAAGATACAAAACAGGGGTGGGGATGTGGCTCGGTGCTTGCGTGCCCCTGAGTTCAATACCAAGTATCTTTTTCTACCAATAATAATAATAATAATTCATTAGTGCAAAAACATAAGTAATAGGGGGGGGAGGAACCAAGACTAAACAGAATAAATATAAAACAAATAGCAGGAGGGTAGATTTAAATCTAACTGTATCAATAATTGCATAAAATTACCACATTAAAATGCAGAGATAGATTTTTAAAGGAAGCAAGACAAATACTTACTTGATGGGGGATAACATGATCATGAAGGTGGCTTATTCAAAGCAAGACTTGTTCATTGCACCTCAGGTATACTAATCCTTGCAATTTTTCCACCTTGTGGGCAACAAGCCCAGAATTTGTGCTTTTGGGAATCATGCATTCATGCTTTCTCTAAAGATTAAAAAAAATTAAGAAGTGCGGTCTTATGCCGTCTGCAAAATAAGCCCTTTGTAAATACAAAGGCAAAAATATGCTTAAAGTGATAAAGAGGATATAGCATAATGATAATGAGGTAAATTCATAAAAGGATAAAAAGCTTAAGTGTGTATGAAACTAAAAATACTTCAAGATACATGAAGTGAAACTGCTAGACCTGGAAGAATTAAACAAATGAACAACTATAGTTAAAGACTTTAATGCCCCTCTCTCAGTAATCAAACAAGTAAATAGAAAATACAACATTTTTAAACAGGTTGGCCTAATGACAATGCATAGACCATTCAATCAAATAATATTAGAATATGCACTATCTTCGAATGCCTATAGTACATTCATCAAGAAAGACTATACTCTCAGTCATAGAACAAACCTCAATATATTTAAATAGAATTAAGTCACACAAAATATCATCTCTGATTATAGTAGAATTAAACTAGAAATCAATAACAGAAAGATATCTTGAAAAAATTTCTAAGAATCTAGAGTCTAACATGTAACAGATAAATCAAAGAAAATATTGAAATAGAAATTGGAAAATATTTTAAATTAAAATAAAAAATGGCATTGAATTGTTTTCAATAGCTAAAAATGAATATCAACATTTATGAGACATAGCTAAAGAAGTACCTAAAAAGAAAATTTATAGCTTGTTATAAAAGAAGAAGACACTCATTTCAATTATCTCAATTTCCATATTAAATTTTATCCATAATAAGTTTGAAGAAATAAATCCTGGAATAAACCAACTAGAAAACAATAAATCAAATAGAAAACAGGAAAACAACAGAGAAAAATAAATAAGAAAAACAAGAAAAAAAGATAAAGATAAGGCTTTTTAATCAGGCTGATGAGGATAAAAAGAAAGAAGACACAAATTGCCAACATCAGAAATAAAACAGGGACATCATCACAGAGACCATGGACATTATAAGAAGAGCCATGTTTGGTGACGCCCATGCCTAGAATTCTGAGACTCAGGAGGCTGAAGCAGGAGGATCCTCAGTTCCAAGCCAACCTTAAAAACTTAGTGAGACCCTGTCTCAAAATTAAAAAAAAGTTTGGGGATGTAGCTCAGTTGTACAGTGCTAGACTAGCATGAGGTACTGAGTTCAATCCTCAATGCTGAAAAAAGAAAAAGATAGTAAGGGGGATATTATAGACAACTTTATGCAAATAAATTTGATAACTTATATGAAGTATACAAATTTCTAAAAAGTCTCAAGCTACCAATGTTTGATTAAAAATAAATAGATAACCTGATCCTATAATCTAGTAAATAAATTGAGTTTGTAGTATCAACCTTTCCACAAAACTGATAATTCTTTCCGATTAAGGAAGAAATACTACAAATACCATACAAACTCTTCCAGAAAAATAGCAGAGAAGGACACAACTCTCTGTTGTTTATCAGGCTAGATTTATTCTGTAACAAAATCGACAAATACACTCCAGGAAAAAAAAATACAGACCTAAATCCTTCATAAGCATAACACCAAAATTCTTAACAAGCATTTAAAAATCAACCCTTTCAATTTGTGAAAAGGATAATACAGGCTGGGCAAGTGGGATTTTTCCTAGGAACATAAGGTTGGCACAATATTAGAAAATTAATTAACGTAATCTGATATATTAACAGATTATGATTATCTCAGTAGATGAAGAAAAATCATTTTTCAAAATTTAACATCTATGCATAACTTTAAAACTATGTAATACTTGGCAATCTAAGAGCAGGAGAAATTTTTTTATAATTAGATACGGAGCATCTACACCAAACCTAAAGTCTTCATACTTATTAATGAATATTGAAAGCTTTCTTTTTACAATTGAGGAAAAAAAACAAAACAAGATCTGTGTACTTTACCCTCTTAATCAGCTAGTGCAATAAGGCAAGAAAAAGAAAATGGCATACAGATTGGGAAGAAAGCACTTACAAATGGCATATTGTTTACATAGAAAATTCCATAGAATCTATAAAAAATTTGATACCAAAACAAGTATATACTGTGATGATTCACTCCATCCTTCTCCAGAGAAACCTATAGCCATTTACTTAAACGATGCACACTCGAGCAAGGGGAAGGTCCACGGCTCACAGGCTTTGAATTGACTTTGGTATCTGGAGACCCAAAGCATCATGGAATCCTTGTTAGAGTAGAGGATTATAGGAGTCAGGAAATGAAAAGGTTTCTGGCTAAAGTCTGATACACACTGGGCCCACTAAATTTATGGACTCATTCAGGGGCCATTGCCCCATTTTTTTTTTTATAATGGGAATGGATATAATTGCAGTGACAGTTGGAGTGATCCCACTTCCCCGCATTTCTTTCTTGGTCTATGAGTCCAGTGCTATCCTAGTAGCACTGTGAAGGTGAAACTTTTGAAACTGCCTTCTTACCAAGATAATCAATGCAAAACAGAGATTGGTGTTCCTTATTTTATCCTTTTTGTTTGTTTGTTTTTATTGGTTGTTCAAAACATTACATAACTCATGACATATCATCTTTCATACATTTGATTCAAGTGGGTTATGAACTCCCATTTTTACCCCAAATACA